TGGGATCCTTGTGAGTGATTGTAAAATTTGTTGAAGTTGTTGGAACATTTTGAACCGCGAGTCGAATTCGAAAATGCGAGGAGATGAGTACGATTTCAAGAATGGTAAGTGTTGGTACTGATACAAAGAAATTTTATTCTGATGTTATTGTAAGGTGTGTAATAGTATGTAGCTGCATGACGTTGGTGTTCGCATTTTCGGATAACTTCGGAAATTCATACCTTGTGTTCCGAGTATTGGATTGGTGTTCCGTTTGAACCTATGAGGAGATAGAAATATATTATATCCTATGAAAGTGTTTTCGAATACGGTAGATGCATTCCTATGTGGAGGGACTCTGAAGTCGGTATGGAACTAGAGGCTTTTGGGGTATAAATGATTATTATCGCAGTTGTTCGAAACGAGGTCAAGCGTAATATGTTGTTGGCGAATAAGTTGAGAAATTATATGTTCAGCATTAAAAAGGATGTGAAAGTATTGGAGAATCGCATAGAGATGCAGCTTATGATGATTAACAATTATTATAATGAATATTTCATTTTAAAGGAAAATGCTTTTAAGAGGAATTATAGTCGTGTTTATGATGCCAAGGTAGTGGCATGTGTAAGAGAAGAATTGGAGAGGTTCTATCACCAAAATGGTGTGGAACGGCATTGTTGAGATTTCAATTGGGACGAGACGATGTGTAATGTAATGGTATAGTAGTAATTCTTGAGTTGGAGAATACTTAACCTTCGTGTCAGGCTAAGTGAGTGTAATATGGACCGTGTAATATGTTGAGCATTGGTGTCTCATCGATAAGATCGAATGAGAGGGAAATTATGGGAGTATTTGTAAAACTCATTGGAAATTATTGGATTATGGTTCTTTAGGTGACTTGAATACAAGTTCTAAAGGAACACTATTATAGTTTGGTAACGATGATTTATACTCCATTATGGTTGTCGACTATCTATTAACAAATTGAGGAACTGATCACCCTTAATCTCTTGTTGATAGTAGATGAGATCGTGTTGGATGGTATAGACTTGTCTTGCTATCTTAATGGTGTGTTAAGTGATTGATGTTATATCATGAGGATAGTCACTCATCAGTTTGTGTGAATTAATAGAGCAGTGGCTAGGAAAGAGTTGAGACGTATTGAACAATTCGGAGTAGTGGATTTATATGTGAGCTAACGTTGCAAAGTGAAAGATTGAGAATATCAAGTGAACAACGATTTTATGGTGGATGTTAAAGAAAGTCTGAAACTAGGTTGAAACTTGTAAATCATATAATTGACGGAAATTTTAATGAGGACGTTGATGTAAGATGGATGATCAGAATTGTGCAGCTGAAGCGTGATATGACGCAGTTTCTATGCTTGTACGACTCGTTAGAAGTGAAGGAATAAATATCAGAAGCCTATGGGAAGGATATATCTTGATCTACATGTTTGATTTGGTGGATTGTTGATATAGGGATGATGTGCCATGGTACTGTGTTTTCTCGTAAATATTTGCTGATTTTATAAGGATATTATTGTGGTTGTTGGTTGATGGTGGGTTGTGTGTATATTTGTTGAGTTATATTGTTAAGTTGACGTTATAATGATTTTGTTCCCGTTGTCATGATGTTGTTGTTGGTTATCGTAAATGATGAATAATACTCCATAATATGACGAAGTTGATTATGTTGTTGATGTCACTATAAGGGTGATACGACGATATGAATATAGTTGTTGATATTTATATATATATATATATATATATATATATATATATATATATATATGGGAATAAAATTGTGTATGTGTTTTGGTGTTGAAAATGTTGTTAAGATGATAATGTGATGTTGTATATCCAATTATAAGTATGTTATGGTTGTTACTACTTTAAATGTTGATATGTCAAAATATTATTGAAGTGGTTGATAAGTTATTAACGATTATGTCACGGAGGTGTTGAATGATTAGCATGTGTGAATTTGATTTAAACCGTGTTGAGTTATTATTATGTCGGGAAAGTAATGATCAAAGTGTTGCCAAACACGACTTGGGGATCAGAGAGTGAGATGCGAAATTCGCATGAAGAGTGGTAGTATCGAGTAGATTTTTGAGGACTAAAATATTTTAAGTGGGAGAGAGTTGTAACACCCGATAATTTAATTAATTATTTAATTAAATTATTTTCAAATTATTTGTTGAAATGTGTGAAATGTTGCTATATGTTGCTAAGTTGTTGTTTGGTTGATTATTTTAGTTGATTAATATTAGCAATAATATTATAATAATATAAGATTAAGTTGTTGGGCTTATTTATATGATGGTATGTAGTAAGGTGGGGGTGTGTAAGTTGAGCCCATTAGGAATAATAATATTATTATTGGATTTAGTTATAATAATAAGAAATTGGGTTAATTATAAAGATTAAGAAAGTCTAATGCAGTAACGTAGGAAGTGGCAGAGAAGAGGAATAAGGAAAAGAGGCAAAGTTAGGTCAATCGTAGAGTTGTAGAGCAACATTCAATCTGAGGTAAGGGTGGGGTTCTGACTCTATAATAGGAATTGCGATGAATAGTATGTAGGAATTAGGTTGGTGTAACGTTGTTGTGCGTATGTTGTTGTTGTTGTTTCTGAAATTGTCTGTTATCACGTTGTTATCATGTTGTGGATGTTCTTGAAATGTTTGCAAAATTAACTATATGTTGTTGGAAATTATAATATTGCTGATATAGTTGTTATGTTTTTATGTCGATGTAATACTGTGTTGTATCATGTTGTTGTGAAAATACTGTTAATCAAAGAAAAATTTGGAGAATTCTGTGTTTGAATCGGTAAGCCTGTGAAGAAACTGCATGAGAAACACTCTGTGCTGAGGGGCACACGAGCATGCCGACCGACACGATGTATGCAGAGGAGTGTGCCGAGCGGCTCAACAACATGATGAGCGGCATGGCCTTTTATTTTTGTGCCGAGGGGCACAGTTGGGTGACGAGGGGCACATCCTAAACATATATTTTTTGTTTTCTTTTGTTTGCTTTGTCTCCTGTGTGTCTGTTACCTTATTTTGTTAGTTGGTTAATAGCAGAGATTAAGTACACAAATTATAGAATTGGCTTATATAGCAGAGTAATGAAATAGATGAGTGGACTGGATTATATAGTTAGTAAGTATTTAGCAGGATGACCTTAACAGTAGTAATAGGAAAGTAATAATAGTATAATAGCATAGTACATATAGCAGGAATAAGTTGACAATAGGAGTTAATTGTGAAATAGTAACAGAAAGCTATTAGCAATAAAATAACAGTAGTGAATTAATTAGTAGCACTAGCAGTAATGGAAATTGTTGATAGCAGTACTAGCTTATATAATAATTGCAGCATGTTAATATTAGAGGAACCATCACAGAATGTCTAATAACCGAATATAGATGTATAGATGAATAATTATGTAATGTTATTGCAATGTGTTTCAATTGTATTTGTGAACTTTACTATGTTCTTGTAATGTTAATATTGTTGACGATGCGAAGTTGCAGGATATACTGATGTTGTTGAAATGCCTCTAATTCTTGGCAGATAAGTTGTAGGCTTGTGGCCAGTGTTGAATTGTTGTTGAGTTGTTGTTGTTATTGAGTTGTTGTTTAATTGTTGTTATTATTGTTTTTGTTGTTGAGTTGTTGTTGAATGGTCAATGTTGTAGTTGTTGTTGTGTTTCATAACGTTGTCACATACATAACATAACAAGTTGGGAGCTCATGCTCTGTAAGTTGGCCTGAAATGGAAAGATTTGAAGTTAAAGGCTTATGCCTTGTTGATGTCTCTATTAATTGGCAGATTATTAAGTTGGGAGTTTTTCTTTATTGGTACCACATGCATGTGCATAATAATCAAGTCTCATTTCATGTTGCATTCTAAGTTATTGTATGGAAGAATTAGTTATGTTGAATGTTGTTAAAAAACTGTGAAGTGGTGATTGTTATATGAATTGATTTTAATATATTATTTATCATACATTCGATTATATTGTTTGATATCTCACCCTTTCTGTTTGAATGTTACCCCTATATTGGCAACGTGCAAGTAATCTAGAATGAAGGTTGTTTACCTTCAGTAGTTTGAGTTGTTGTCGTTGCTCTGATATGTAACACTCGGGGGGATGAGCACTTGTTGCTTTATTGTTGATTTTACTCCCGTTGCTGAATTTAAGTTGATTTCGTTAAGTACTTTTTTGTTTCTAAAGTTGTTTTCAGTTGTACAAAGATGTTATGCCATTTAAGTTGAAAATTGTGATTCCACTGCTTAAGTAATAAAGTTGTTTCGTTTTAAAGACTAAAATTGTTGTCATCTGTTCATCCAATGATTTAAGTGTTATGTATCTATTTTATATGCGATTAAATGTCGTTGTTATAAGTTGAAAGTGTAGCGTCCTATTTATATGTCGAAATTTTATAACTCTAATTTTATTAATATTCGCTGGGTTGAAATGGGGTGTTACATGTCCCATTAGTGTTATTGTGTCACTCGTATGGTAACTTGTGGTCCACTGTGATTTCTCTATGTTAACTTGTGGTTGAATGTGTTTTCGTGTTTTATTCGTATGTTGTGGTCCATTGTGTTTACTTAATGTTAAGTTGTGATATTATTGCATGTTAATTTATTCCATTGTTTTTTGATTAATTCTCAGGCCAACTAAGAGTCATAAGGTTAAGTTAAGAATACACCATAGGAGGATATTAGTTCTTAAACCTATTAAGTGGTATGTTGATAGAGATGTATCTGATATGGATTAGAAGTGGGGTGTGGATTACATGTCATCCGTGGATTTGGAGATTTTGATTAAAAGTGAGGGTTATAAAGACATATAAGATGTATGTGGTATTGGAAACCTAAGTACAATTTTCTCGTGGTCTTAGACCCTTGAAAAATGATAATGATGAGTTGCAGTTTTCCAAAAATGTCATAGGGTTTGCGTTGATAGATGTATATGTGGAGCACAATGTAGATAATTATGAGATTATGGATGCAAGTGAGTTAGGTACTAACATTGATGATGATGATGATGATGATGATGATGATGATGATGATGTAGAACGTACTGGTTTTAGAAGTGAAAATGTTGAAGTTAATTATGATTGTAATATTACTGATAATCATAATGGTGAGGTTAATGATGAAAATTTTAAAGAACTTAGTGGTGATGGTAATACTACTGATGATCATAATGTTGAATTTAATGATGAAAATGTTGAAGAAATGAGTGGTGATTGTAATGTTGATGAGGATTATGTTGCAAGTGAGTATAGTTTTAAGGATCGTGAGTTTCCCAATTGTGAAGAATTTGAGGAGATGGACTGGACCAAAGTACTATCCTCTGAGACTTTAGGTGATATTTCTAGTGGCAAAAAAGAACTAGTACCAGCTGATATGAAATATGAATAATCTGAAAATTCTAATCATTTATACACCCCTATTGGGAGTGATGATGATGGTGACGATGATGATGAGGCAGTTAAGTTTCCAACTTATAAGAGTGTTTATGAATCTATGAACTATGCTAGTTTAGTTTAGGTATGGTGTTTACCAACAAGGAGATGATAAATAGATATTATCATGGATTATGGAATGGAAAATTAAAAAAAAAAGTTCATTAAGAAGAATGGTTCCAAAAGGATGGTGATTCAATGTATGGCTGGTTGTAAGTTCTATGTGAGGTTTAGTAAAAGGAATAGGCAACAGTATTAGCAAATATCAACTTTGTTGATGACCATACATGCCACAAGAGTGCACATAATAGGAAGGCAAGGACTAATTGGCTTGCAATTTTTTTTGCAAATATCCTTAGACAAAGTCCTTAAACTAAACTAGCATAGCTCATAGCTTAACCTATTGAGAGGTGGGAAGTGAAATTATCACAAGATCAATAATATAGGTAAAAAAGGAATGCAATGGAATTGATTCAAGGTGTTGGGATTGATCAATTCAACCATTTGAGAAGTTATGCAGAATAGTTGATGAAGTCAAATCCTAATAGCATTGTGGTTATATAGTGTGTTGAAAGCAATGGCAGACATGTTTTTGAAAGGATCTATATATGTTTAGAGGCTTGTAAGGAAGTATTTATAAAAACCTGTAGGCCACTTATAGGTTTGGATGCTTGCTTTTTGAAAAGGGACTATGGTGGTCAATTAATGGCACCAATAGGCATGGATGGTAACAATCAAATATTTCCAATTACATGTGTTATTGTTGAAGATGAGACCAAAGAATCATTGGAGTGGTTCTTACTCCTTCTTCTGAAAGATTTAGATGCATTCAATCAGTGATCACATGCCTTTGTTTATGACCAACAAAAGGTATTATCTTATATAGCTTATTTATGGTTGAATCTTATATAATTTGATTACATATAATTATATTTTTATTACATGTGACAGAGTCTGGTTCCTACAGTTCAACACATTAGAACCCATGTGGAGTAGAGACTGTGTAAAACATCTTTATTATAATTGAAATAAGAAGTACTCTAGTTTAAAATTAAAAGATATCATGTGGGAATCAACTAGGGAATTTACAATACCAACATGGGATATATCAATGCATATAATGAAAGATTTAAATGAAAGTGCTTGGAAGGACATGTTAGAAACCCTTCACAATTTTGGATCAGATCACACTTCAAGACATATATAAAGTGTGGTCTACAGGTAAAAAAACATGTGTAAGGCATTTAATAGGGAAATATTAGAGCATGGAGACAAACATATAATTACCTTATTGGTGGGGATCAAGAATTATATAACAATGAGGATAATCAGCCAAAAGGAGTTGTTGCAAAGGTATAATGGAGGTATATGTCCTAAAATCTAACTAGTCCATGAGAAGAATAAAAAACAAGCAGGGGGTGGACTCCAACATGGCATGGTGATGATGATCTTGCAATATTTTGTGTAACTAATGGCATTGATACCTACTGTGTTAATCTGAAAAATGAAACATGCTCATGTAGAAGTTGAGACTTATCTGAGATACCTTGTTGTCATGTTATCACATGTATACGGAGCATCAAAAAACAAATTACAGATTATGTGGCTGAATATTATAGATATGATTCTGTTTGAATTATATGATTATGCTTTGCTTTGTATGAATTAAAATATAGTATGACTATGTTTTGTTTTTTCTGTTGGATTGTAGGAAATCAATATTTGAGAAGACTTACTCAAATATTGTATTTCCAATAAATTGACTATAATATTGGCCTATGGTTGATCATGTATCAATTTATCCACTTGCGATGAGACGCGCGATTGGTCGTCTAAAAAGGATGAGAAACAAGACATGTGATGAACCAAGTAATCTTCATGTACTTTCAAGGAGGCTTCCAACAGTTACTTGTAAGAAAAATGTGGAAAAATGGGTCATAATAAGAGGATTTGTAAAGGTAAAAAAGAGTGGCTGACAGAGCAATACCAAAGGGAGGTGACAAAAGACAAAGAAGAAAAATACTACTAAGGATGGAAAATGAAAAAAATGAAAAATGAAAATCGAACTGAAATTGCACAAGGATCTCAAGCACCTCAATATTAAACTAGAATATGCATATTATGCATTCCATATTAACCAGGCATACGCAAGCCATACTAATAAATTATGCATGATTCATCAAAGCAAAATTTATCTCATTATATGAAGAACATAATCAAGATAGATTGGACTGCATAATCAAGTTATCAAACCAGAATTCAGCAAACTAGGATTCATCAAACCAAAATTTATCAAACTATTCCTTGCATTAATCAGGTCCAATTACAACATAGTTGAACTTTTGTTACAACATAATACACCAACACCTAAACACTTTAGGATACTTCTAAAAACACATAACTTAATCATAATCTAATACTTAATAAACTAAAAACCTATTTGATGAGTGTTGAACCAACTAAGGAAAATAACACAATGAGTGTGATTATCCAATTGAACTTCAATTGCTTCCTCAATAGTTTCATCTTCATTTCTTCATTTTTAATTTTGGCATCCTTAAGTTTTTGTTTCTCCTCATTTAAATTTTGTAATAATGAGGAGATAATTTCCTTTGCTCTAGGACTCACTTCTTCATCCAACCAAACAAAACGATTACATTTCTTGTAGCCTTTCAGCTGGATACATCAATGGAGAAGAAAAAAGATACATCAATGGAGAAGAAAGAAGATACACCAATAATGACCTGGTTAAAATAAAACAACGTCAAAACTAGCATAGATGGAATCATATCTTATACATTCCACAACCATAGAAACAAAGATATGGCTTCACATCAGTCCATTTTTCCATAAATAGAGCATCAAGACCGCATTTGCATTCATACCTTAATGGACATAATTTGTTGTTACTATTGGAAATTAATTTTTGAGACATATGGGGTTTAGAGAACTGGTTTGGAGGAGGAATATGACGAAAGACTAGAAATATGTCTTCTTCGTGGTTGATTTGATTTCTAGGGTTGATTGCAGGTTCGTGAAGTTGATGAAATTACACTCATCGTCGGTAACATTTTAGATTTGATGGTTTATCAACTTGTGTGTATATACATTATTTGATTTATCGCATGTTTGTACTTTTTCTATTATATGAATTTATTTGCATTGTTGTTGTAATTCATTTGGAATAATATGTATTCGTTCACTTCGGCTATATCTAGTTTTTGTACCTTTGAGAAACCTATTCATTCATTGTCTTAGTTGTTGTATCCATGTAATTGTCTCCTTTTTTAGCCTAGAAATTAGATTTGTATCAATATATTGAGTATTGCTTGAATCACGAGTTAGAATGTTTTAATCAACACTGCAAAGATGTGTGATTCAAATCATGCATATTGTGACTCGAATCTTGAAGTCTCATGAAAGTTGGGAGATGACTCTTTCTAATTTGAGTTGAATCAAGGAAGAGTGTGATTCGAATCACAACTCCACTTGACTCGAATCATGAGATACACATGACTCAAATTTTGGCCTCTTTTTCTTCTTTCCAACCTTTGATTCAATATGATTGTTTCTTGATTTGAATCCTTACTTTATGATTTGATAAAAACCCTTTGTCTAAATTGTTTTTTGTTAGAGAGAAAAATCCTCTAGCACCAATTAACAATCTATCTCTTTTGTTTTTATCAATGAGTAAGAGTGTGTCACCTATAAGATAAAATCTTTGAAAAAGTGTGAGGAATCACATCTCTTGAAACATCATTGTGTCTTCTTATTGTAGAACAAGAAATCTAGAGAGAGAAAGAGAGGGGGAGATAGAGATAGAGATAGAGATAGAGAGAGAGAGAGAGGAATGATCAATCAAGTGATAGAATTTAATCAATCTATAAATAATCATCAAGAATCTATAAACTCATTTTTACCAAAAACCTTGAAAGAACTTAGTGAGTATGTTCTTCATTCACCAAGATCTGACTCCTTGTTGATACATTGTGATTAAACTCCTAAAATGTGGATCTTGTGAGTTTTTAGATGTGTGTGAGAGATTCTTCAGATACTATTCATCATCTTAAACCTTTATCAATAACCATTGTCGTGGATCTCCTACTCTAAAGGTTGACACTGAGAGTTAGACTAAAGGTACATTAGGGAATCTAATATTTTTCTTTGAATTTATGTTTTTGTGTATCAGGTGAAAGAATAGTTTCTCGGACATGAATTTTGTTTGTGTGTTGTTCACAAAGAGAGATGAGTGTCTTTATACTCCATTGAATACTTTCGTGAAATCATGTAAAGGTTGTCACAAAACAAAATTGAGAGTTATCCAATTATTTGAACCTAATGGCAATCTTCCAGACAAGCTTTTGTGAGATTCGAGAAAAGAATGTTGTAGAAAGAAAGCTTGGAGCAGGTTAAAGTGGATAGCAAGATTATTGGGTCAAGATCATTGAAGATCTTGTATGTAGTAGTTTAGTGTCTGTATCAACAAAAGGAATTATCATTTGATTTGTGTGTAGGCTAATGTCGTGTGGCTATTAGCGTTCAGATTGACGATAGTTCGTTGTATCAAAATACATGTATATTAACTTTTGAAAATAGTGAATTCATAATTATTTCTCATTGATTTCAAATCATTGAAGAGTGGAGCAGGCATAGTGAGGACGATTGTCAAACCACTATATATCTATGTGTATTATCTTTTTTCCCTATCTCTCTTTAATTTTCTTCATTCATCATGTAAAAATTAAATCATATCATAGTTTGTATGTCATCTAGATTAGATCTTTCTTATAGTGATTTATATATATGCATGTGTCTGTGTTGCATCAGATCTATCGAATCGTGCTTAAGTCAATTATGATAAAAGACATGTCTATATTAAGATATTAAACTGTTTGGATTAAGCAACTTGAATTGTCCTATTTGATTTAAGTCCTTAATTTATCATACTCTTAGTGACAACATTAAAATATATGGGTTAGAATTCATATTTTTGAGATTTTATGCTTCAATTCTATTTTATTTTAGCTTCCGCTCATTAAACTCTGATTTTAAATTGAAAATTTTGAAATAAGTTTTTAAAGGGGATCGGTCTATTCAAACCCCACTCCCTTCTACAAAATTTTCACATTTATATTTCCAACCAACAAGTGGCATCAGAGTTGATCTTTTGATCGAATCTAAGTGAATTCAAAAGTCGGAATATAAAGTCCTTTTTGATCCTAAATTTTTTATGTTTTGAAAGCTTTCTCATCTCAGTTGAAATCGAGCATATTTCATTGATATCTTAATGACTGATTCATCATTGACTGATCAATGTCGAATAATGTCGAGTAATTACCTACTATAATGTTATTTGATCATTGATTGAGTTAAGAGACTCTCTAATTTATATTCTGGATTGAACTAACAAAACTTTGAGGTGAGTGCAAGTTTGACCAGATGATGATTAACAAAAGCTAACAATGTTCTAATTGTTATGTGACAATTGTTTTGAATTATGGATTGTTCGGTTTTGAATTATGGATTGTTTGAGGAAATGGAAGAAGCATCTCTATTGACCTGCTCTTTCAAGATTATTGTAAAAGAAGATGAAGATAATTTATGAAAATTGGCATATAAATGGAATATGCTTTTTCTAAACCGATAGATTAATATCCCATGGTGACTGATGATTGATGTTGTAAATGTGTGATTGCGGAAAAAATGACTGCATGGAATCTGTTTTTGTCTATAATACACAGATTCCGGAACATTCCGAAACTCTTTTCGATGTCAGAAACTTCTAAAATTTCTAATAAAAATAGAAACTTATTACCCTCCAAAATGGAAAGAAAAAATCAAACATTCTTCAAAACAAAAATGAAGTACATTTTATTGATGATCTTCCATAGAGCAGTTTCTTCATAATAATGAAATGAAACAAATGAAAATACAATAGGAAAGAATAGTAATCAAACTGTACACACACCACCACTAGTGCAAAGGAGCACATTCCAACCAAATTCATACGCAAAAATCTACACTCTAACATCTACACCTAAGTTATAACAACAGATAATACGTATATATATTATAAACCATTCAAATGTTACCCGTTCCGGCTCCGGCTCCGTGTCTCGATGTAAAAGTGGCAGGCATAGAGGAACTTACAGAATCTCAAGAGAATGCAAAACTTGCAAGTTCACTTGTGTTCCTTATCTTGGAAATACCTTTGAGATCACCGTCTCAACGTGTGTTAGTTCCTTCTGCCGTTTAGTTTAGAATCTGGAGTGTCGCTTTTATCTGTATCAGAAGTCTCCCTCTGGCTCTCTGCCTCTATGTTTCCGGCTTGATTCCTTCGCCGTCTTCGATCCTGAAATGTCGCACGGATTATTAGATAAACATCACATTCCAAATATACAACCTCGAATAAAGTGAGTTTCGCTAGAGTTGGTATGGAACCAAATGTAATTTCATAAAGTAATGACTACATTGGAAACTATAAGAATCAAATGTCAAACCTCTCGAGGTATGGGATATTCCTCCGATTCAAGCATGCGAACAACTTGGCTCATCTTTGGTCTTTTTTCAGAATCTGGATCAACACATCTCAAAGCAGTTAAAAGGGATCGTTTTAGAGCACTCGTCGATGGCCGTGTTTCAATGTTGGGGTCAACCACTTCTTCCGAGCGCCTACACCCTACCATCATCTTGAGCCAGTCAACCAAATTTACCTTTAAGAAACAACCAAGAATGTATCAAGGAAAGTCTAATGAGTCAAAAGTAGTAAAAGAATGTATCAACCAAATTTACGATTAACGGAAAACAATAACAGTGACACACCTCGGTTGCTGGTCGGCTATAATCGACCGGGTCACGTCCCGTAATTGCTTCAAGAAGCAATACACCAAAGCTGTAAACATCGCTTTTCTCGTTTAACAAGCCAGAATTGGCATATTCTGGAGCTACATATCTGAAAAATTGAAGCATAAGCATGCAAAAAAGAATGAGCAAAGTAAAGAACAAGTTCTAAATTTGAAAATTGAAGCTTACCCAAAAGTACCCATTACTCTTGTTGTAATGTGACTTTTTCCGGCACCGAGTAATTTAGCAAGCCCAAAGTCAGATATTTTAGCATTAAAGTTATCATCAATTAGAATATTGCTCGACTTAATATCTCGATGTACAACTTTTGGCTCGATCGCCTCGTGCAAGTAAGCTAGCCTACAAGGTATAATAATCAATCAAATTAAACATAGCTAAAAAGGAAACTCGATCAACAAAATAAACTTGAAACAACTAGTAGGTTAGTTATTTTTCCACAAGAAGAAACGTGCGTACGCTTTGGCTGTTCCGAGAAGAATTTTCACCCGAGCTTCCCAAGTAAGATAGCCATGCTGCCGCATGGCTCCGTGAAGCCACTGCTCTAAATTTCCGTTGTTAACATACTCGTAAATCAATAACCTGAAATTAATAGTGATTTCATTAACAAAATATGCAAATAATATAAACCAGTACTAAAATATTAGTAAGCAAATGCAACTGTGACATAAATCCATGTTGTTCGCCAAGAAATTTCAAGCGACAAAGACGCCAATGAATTGATTTTTCAAGCAGTTAATGTTAAGAGTTGTGGTTGGACCTAACTCATCCCTAAAAAACCGATTTGTAGAGTGAGGATTGTCCCCTACTTATAAGCACATGTTCACGTCATATGTTGTCTGATGTGAGACTCTTAACACACCCCATCACGCAGAGGACTGAATATCCGGAACGTGGAAATAAATGGCGGATGGCCGATAGCGGAAATTTGATAGCAAGTGGTCCACCGAATGTTAAACCAGACTCTGACACTATGTTAAGAAAATGTGGTTTTGGTTGTGGTTGAGTTAGGCCCAACCACATTTTCTTAACATGGTACCAAGGCCAAGTTGCGATCCTGGGACTAGTGGGATATGGACCCACCACACTTCCGATACACTACTCTGATACAAGCCGGTTTTATAGGGATGAGTTAGGTCCAACCACAACTCTCAACTATTAACAGATTTTTTAAATG